GCTCAAGCAAAATGAAGAAGCTGACTGAACTCCGCGCTTTAGTATGTTGTAAGTTGTAGTTTAATTGAAAAATGTTTATTTCTATTATTGGAGGGAAAATTGACCTCTAATTTGCGTATAGATATATCGAGAAATACTGATTGTGGAGGTGCAATTTGCAGATTCAGTAATCAAAGTTCCTACTTAGTTATTTTCGCTGAAGGTAGAAATACCATGGAACTTGCCGTGATTTTTACTGCGCAAGAGCAATATTTTCTTAGCTGTTATTTGGCTTTGTTGAGTATTCAAGCATTTCTTCTAAACGGGAGGACTCTGGAGATAGTTGTTAGCATGAATACCTTTTTTTAAAATCTCTGTAAAAAGAGTCATTCTAGAACAAAAAAAGCGCCGCGTTGATCAGGTGTGATCAGGAAAGAGGATATAATAACTGATAAGAAGAACCTAGTTAAATACAGCTGTATCACGATAGTCACGATGATCCCAGGCGATAATATGGGTTGCAAAAATGTTCTAACTAACCATTTTCTGCTTTTTTTCAAGTGAACATTTCAAAAGCAGATTCAGAGTTTTGCTTGATCAGCTGCGTGATGAATTGATTGAGAAGAGACAACATTACCTAATTTATATTATTTCTTGAGAGAAAGTGAACTAGTATTTCAAGTGCTAACTTCACATTTCTTGAAAAAATTCTAGCATATTAGTTCAAGAACTTAGATTTTATCATATTTCATGTTCTTCAAAGTGCAATCCGAATTATTATTCAATCTAATCGTCTTCATTTGGTTAGAATAATAAAATTAGAAGTAAATTGATACCTCTACATTTGGATGCTGCATAGCAAGCGAGATGGCACGTATGTCGTCCGAGACGCCATCAGTGTCTAAAATATTTTGTTTGTTTTTTCGCCACAAGTTGCCAATTTCTATAAGAAAACTTACCTATAATAAGCTGAACCTTTCCACTCATCCGGAAATGACAAGACTACAGGCGACAACGGCAGGCGAGCATGCGACAGGGATTATTCGCCGATTAGATAGGAAATCGATGGGTTGAACTACGGGAACAATACAGTGCATCTGCGCCAGCTTCACTACATACTCTATCCCACTCTTTTGATAGATCAAACTTTAATGTTTGTGGTACCTTACCCTTGAGGTTTTAAATAAAATAAAGAATTCAAACTGAATCAATAGTTGTATTATCGCTGAAAGAAGCATAGTACATATACGACATTGTATATATTGCGTTTACATATAAACATTTCTTAGAATAGAATGATTGGAACTTTTTACATAATCAAGTACATACTATTTGGCGCAGTTTTTGTGTTGACTTTTAACATAATACTTAACTTTAGGTTAAACTTTCGTGAACATCATATTTTTTCGGTACTCATAACCTTAACCATTGTTGAATATAACTCGTCTTAAAAGGCCTTCATTGACAGCCACTTCCCCTATTTAACAATTGTGCTCCTCGGCCCGTATCTTTATCGATGTGAAACATTTTCCTTCGTTCTATGCACAACTTGAGAAGAAAAGTAGCGCTACAATGAAAACATTTTTTTTATTTTGCCCTGCAAAATTAGTTTCTAAGGGTTTTGTAGAGGCTGCACATATACATATGTTCTTGATTATGTAGAAATTTCTTGGCACGTAGCAATTTCAGCTTGATTTTCCCTTAACATTACTGATAACAGCTAACTAAGGGCATATGCTGCCAAATCGAGCTGTGCAAAATTAAGTTTGCATTATGTGCATCTCTTAAAACAGGTACCACTTTCCGTAACCTTTTACATTAAGAATAACTTCCATGCTAAGATAACATGCATTATAGCATTTTCAATTTAATTTTGGATCATGTTTTTGTTGCATTATTTTGTAAGCATGTGCAAATCAGGTGGCTTCTCACACTCCTCTGCTCTTTGGTCAAAGTCTGTCATCGCCCTCCAACATAAATTCCTATAGTCAGGAGCGGAGGTTGTTCATTTGTTTTTTTCTGCTTCATCGATAACATGACTGCTTGAGCATCATTACTTATAATAAAGCGCTAATTTATCT